CTGCAGGGATGGTGGCGAGGGCAGGCTACGCAGCAGGGGGGGGGGGATCAAACGCAGGGGAAGGGGCGACGGCAGGGGTGAAGGCAGGCGATGTCGCGGGGGAGGGGGACGACGACGACCCATTGGTGAAAGGGCTGCGCCAGCGGAATACGCGGGAAGTAATGGAGGTGGCGACAAAGTTGTGGGTGGATGACCTCCGCTTCTGGAACGAGAGGGAGGGATTTGCCATCGTCAAGTTGATCGCGGAGGCGCCCGGTTATCTTGTGGTTGTGGCGCGGGGAGAGCAGCCTCCGCCCATTCGTCGCAGCATCGCCTTGCCTCACAACAGCATCCCGCAGCACAAGATCGCGGACGAGTCGGAGTTAAACGCTGCGAAGGAGAGGGCGCTGAAGGTTAAGGGGATCGCTTTGAGGGTGATACACAGGTGGGTCTTCAAGTCTCAGAACAGGCAAAGGGGGTACCACGGGGCGTACCAGCACGCACTCAACCACGAGGCCACCGACATCGCTCGCGCGATGTGGATGAGGGAGGACTGGCGTTATTGTGTGAGTCCGATCGTCATCCACCACACGCTGGACATGGATATGAAGCTGCCTTTGTGGTTCGTGGGCGCCGACGTCGAAGACAGGCACGAGGACAACGGCTTGGCGGCTTATCAGGAGGCGAGCATCCAGCGACTGGTGGGGGCTTTCATGAGTGCCGTGATCATTGCGGAGGTGACGGACGGCGGTCGTGTATCGCACGAAAGGTTGAAGACCATGGCCGACGCGATGCGGATGATGCTCGTGGCGACCATGTGGCTCATGCGGATGGCGGGTGATGATCATCGCGCGCATTACGACGCCTGGGTCTTCGTCCAACTCACAATGAAGCCGACGCTCGTCGCATCCATGCATCGCTGCTTCGACGCGCGTCGGCTCATCGTGCTAGCTGCGACCGTAATCACCGACAAGTTGGCGAGTCACCCCATCACTTTGATCGACCCTCCAATGTATGTTCTCAACTGGGCATCCATCGGCGTGAAGTTCTCACACGACGCCACACTGTTTTCCCCGATGGAGGCGAAGAAGGTGGATTGGTTCGGCACAGGCCTCCCGTAAGATGAAGACGACAGGAAAGGCAACGAACAGGGAAGCGGGGGCGGTCGATGACGCCTTTTAGTCGTTTATGTAGTTTTTCATCGCGTGATGCTGCTCTGCCGTGGCTTGTTTTTCGACGGCAGACCAACCATCATCCCCTTTCTGTACATACATCGTGGCTGGCAGTCTGATTTTGTTGCCTAGGAGTTTTCGGTGGCGAAGATGGTAAAGAAGGGGATTATCGTTCGTGGTTGATCGTCGTGGCGGACAGGTCACCGTGGGGGTTTGTAATTATCGTATATTTTTGTCATGGTTTACTTTTTTATTTTTTTCTGTTATCTGTTTCGGGTCTTAAGAAATCGATGTTCGCATCTGTAACAACCAACATGTGACACCTGTCATTGGTATTGATGACGGCCCTACTTGAGGAGGTTGTCGCTTCTTGTGTTCGTTGCTTTTCATGATGTCTGGACGATGTTGTCGTTTCCTGTGTCTCTCATTATTGATGATGTCTACAGCTTCATGTCGACTCCTTTGCGTTACCTTTTCATTTGCATTCATGATTGTTAGGGCTGCAACGACATGGAAAATGGTGACGGATGTATGATTCAACGAATGCTTTATCACAGATTGATGAATTTTCACACAACCCATTCCAAATGCAAGCACAAATAAAGGCAATAAAAATGACAACACACACAGTGTCTCTCTCTTTAACAAAATACTTGTCATTTGTAACAAACACGGAGAACAACCTCCACGACATAAAAAAAAAAAATTACAAGATATGTTATCTTCATGCTGTCACTCTCGGCAAAAGCACAACACGTCACAGTTACGATGTAACATGCCTTGAAGGCAACTTCGATCCCGACCAGCCTATAAAAAGAACACACACACACACCCGGAAATGGCCTGGTCACTCACACCCGTCACTGACGGTGGCACCACACTGCAAATCGTCGCAAAGACCTACAACCACACGCACATAACGAAACCCCCGCCACCGACGAGATGGACTGTGCCATCGCCATAAGCCCCACCCGGCGAAAACCTCCTAAGTGCGGCGCAATGCGAAAGTACAGGAAATTAAAGTGTGTCAGACAAGCCACCGCATGCACGCCAACGCACACCGACCCATTAACACTCTCTCGATTAACACTCTCTCTCTCTCTCTCTCTCTCTCTCTCTCTCTCTCTCTCTCTCTCTCTCTCTCTCTCTCTCTCTCTCTCTCTGTAAGCATGTCGCCCGCTCCCGACGACTGCTCGTCTTCAATGCGTACCCATTTGCTCCGCCAGTGCATACCGCAAGATCAGCGCATCTCCCGTGGACGACTCCATACACATCTACCTCAACGGGCGGTGCATCCCAAGGTCCACCCTGCGATGAACACCGTCCGGCCCGGCCTCCCACAACAGATTGTCGTCGAACGGGATGCCCGCGTCGATGAGTATGTTGTGCAGAATGCAAACGGCGACGAATTACTGCGGCAACGTCTCCATGTTCGTCTTGTGGGAGCGAAGGAACAACCTCCACATCCCCTTCAATCTGTCGAAAGCCCTCTCGACTGCTCCCCTTG